AACATAACAAGTTTTTATCTGTTGAAAAGCCGGAAGTAATTAATGGTTATTAGTTCTGTATTCCATTAGTATCTCTTTTCAAGCTCATCGTTTGAACAAAGTCTGCTTGGTTGTTCAAATTGCAGGGAGATTTAGTGGTCACAACAACAAGAACGATAACACTAATCAAAGTCACCATGAAGATTTTGAGCTACCACTTCTTGATTTGCTTACATTAATCAATGCTACTGACAACTTTTCAATTGCGAACAAGATTGGAGAGGGTGGCTTTGGACTAGTTTACAAGGTAGAAACATTTGATCCTTGAGAGCACATTGAAACCTTAAATCGATTTAACTTTTTGGTTGAAATGAAAGTAAGTTCTACTTTTACAGGGTGTGTTAGAAGGGGGGCAAGAAGTAGCAGTGAAGCGGCTATCAGAAACATCAAAGCAAGGAATTCACGAGTTCAAGAATGAAGTTAACTGCATTGCTAAACTTCAGCATCGAAATCTTGTAAAGCTTCTGGGATGCTGCGTTCAAGGAGAAGAGAAGATGTTGGTCTACGAATACTTGCAAAACAAGAGCCTTGATATATATATATTTGGTTAGTCTTTCACATCCAGTGTACATCCATTTCTTTCAAGTGAACTTCTGATGTGATTTCACTGAGCTTAGTTTCATGTTTAGGAGAAATTATAATAAGTTGAAAACATTTGGCAGATGAAGAAAGGAGCGCATTACTTGACTGGCCAAAGCGCTTCAACATTATCAATGGAATTGCTCGTGGACTGATGTACCTCCATCAAGATTCAAGACTTAGAATCATCCACAGAGACTTGAAAGCGAGCAATGTCTTACTTGATACTGAAATGAACCCGAAGATATCAGATTTTGGGATGGCTAGAAGTTTTGGAGGAGATGAGACTGGAGCCAATACACGCCGTGTTGTTGGAACATAGTAAGATTTAATCTTTAATTTTACATGTAGTTGTTACATTCACATGTGCATTTCCTGCATTATATTGTTACTTGTCCGCGTAGCTTGGGATTTTCAAAAGCAAAAAAGAAGATATTTAACTTGCCTTGTTCTACCCCGCTCTGTCCTGCATAAGAGCTCCTCTACCCTGCCCTATATAAGATTAAACCCACCCTATCCCATTGCCATCTCTAATTATATAGTCCTTTGTTATCGTTGTTGCAGTGGTTACATGTCCCCGGAATATGCAGTCGATGGGATATTCTCAGTGAAATCAGATGTCTTTAGCTTTGGAGTATTAGTACTAGAGATTGTGAGCGGAAAGAAGAACAGACGATTCGTTCATCCAGACCACCACCTCAACCTTCTTGGACATGTAAATACTATGTCCCAACTCCTATGTGTAAAAGGACTTTACTCAAAGTATCTGTTAATGAGTTCAAGAGTAGTATATAAACTATTGACATTGTCAATGTATATAACTTAAATCGTTTGTTAACGGATGAGTCATTATATGCAGACATATATGCTACATAAAGAAGGAAGATCATTGGAGCTAGTTGATCCAAAACTGGTGGACTCATGTAATATATCAGAAGTACTAAGATCAATCCATGTAGGTTTATTATGTGTTCAACAAAATCCAGAGGACAGGCCAAGTATGTCAACTGTGATTATGATGCTGAGCAATGAAGGCATTTTGCCATCAGCTAAACATCCTGGCTTCTTTACTGAAAGGAAAATTGGTGATGTTGATCAATTTTCTTGGAGTACACAAACACCTAGTTCTATAAATGAAGTTACCATCACATTGTTGGATGCTCGATAGGAAGAATGTCGAGTGATTTCTGAGATGATCACTCAACTAATAGTTACTATATCAGAAAGTCACTTTCTTTGTTAAAAGATCATTGGAATGTGATTTTCTGAGATAATTACTACTACTTAAGTAACCATCTGAGAACTCAACCAGAATTGTATTAAAATCTTCTCCTCTTTTCTATTTTATTTATTTAGTTAGAAATTTTTGTATTTCAACAACATACACAGTGTGATCCCACTTGTATTCTTTTGTAGTAACATATTTGTCTACATTGTACGTTAGGTCTCGAATTCAAATTTCTACTACTTTGTCCCTCATTCCTACATTTGATCACTTTTTTGCTTTCATTAGACCTTTCATCTAAAATTAAACTCACCGTTAGAGTTGTCAAAAAGAGTTAGCCCAGCCCCACCCGGCCCAAGCCTCGTGGGCCAAGGAATTTGATGGGCTAGGGCGGGCTGACCCTTCATCTGGAAGGGCCTGAAATACTCAATCCAACCCAACCCAAGAAGGGCCACGAGATGGGGCGGGCTAGCCTTTTTTTTTTTTTTTCAAACTTAAAATTTTATAACAACAAGAAATGAGAAGATTTTCAAATCAAATATGATAAATAATGGTGTTGTTTCAATAACACTAGCAAATAATCTAGTGTGATAAGCATGTATCTACGATACTAGCTATGCGAGATACATGTATCTACTGTGATGCATCCCAAATATGCGAGCGAGATAAGTGAGTGGCGAGCAAGATGGGAGGGAGGGGAGGGCGGGTGATTTGTCAATATATCCTAGATACATGCACATCCACTTGGATAAAGTGTATCTAGAACAAATTACGCTTAATTTTGAGTTCATATATCCCGCGATACATGTATCTGGACACATCAAAATCTGGTAAGATTCGTACTATTACCACATAACGTGCATCTAAGTAATTGGTTCATACACTAGTGAAATTTTTCTAATTTATCCTTAAATAAATAGTTCTGGCCCATGGGTCGATCCCGATCAAAGGTCAAGGGCTTATATGGATTGGGCTTAGAGCCCTAATTTTAAATGGTCTTGAAAAATTCTATTTCAATCCTACCCTAAGAACGGATTAAATTGGGCTGACCCTATGGGTTAAGCCCATTTTGATGGCTCTACTCACCGTCAGTAGAAAGCCTTCGTTTTTGTCCCTTGACCCGAAAAAGTGCTCCAACCTGATTGAGTGATTGGGATATTTTAAGTCATATTCAAAAGTTAAGGGGTACATTTGGACTTTCTGAATAAGGAAATTTGACGCGTGTGTCCACGTGTACGCTCTACTAGCAATTATAATAAAAAAAACAATTTGCCAACGTAAGAATGAATTAAAAGTTCAAAATAGAGACAAAATTAAACTAACTTGTAGGAAGATCTAGCAAGGAAAACAAATTTGTGTAAATCTGGTTTTGTTTGTCATGGTGACGTTAGTCCCACGTCCTAAAAGAAATATAACAATGAATAATTTGATATCCATAAAAAAACACATAATTTTTTAAAGGGAAAAGGGTCAAAAATGCCCTTATACTATGTGAAAGGAACAAATATGCCCTCCATTTATAGTTTGGCTCAAAAATGCCCTTACCGTCAATACTTTGGCTCAAAAATGCCCTTGCAGTCAATACTTTGGTCCAGAAATGCCCCTATAGTTAAAAAATGGGTCAAAAATGCCCTTTTCTGAATAAATATATATATTTTTACTTTTTAAACACATATTTTTCCTGATTAAAATATTATTAAAGAACACTATTCTTGTTTTCTTTCTTTTAAAATCACTTTAACAAATAAAAGTGTAGGAAATATTTTTTTTCTTCTTAATCTCATTTTATCAATTAAAATAGAATAACTTCATGTACCCTTTCGACAAATAATATATGTCATATATATACTACCATGGTATATCCATCATTAATTTATATTTATATAACGATAAAAAATAATGATAATAAAATAAGAAAATTTTCATTTTTTATTTTTTTTCTATATTGAAGTAAGATAAACATTTGCTAATTTAAAAAAAAAACATTCATTGAAAAAGAATGTGTCAAAAAGAAAATAATAATATATTTATTTGGAAAATGAGTCTTTTTGACCAATTAAATAACAATAAGGGCATTTTTGGACCAAA